TAATCGATTCTATGTGGTTCCTCCTTTTACTAACAAAGAGAAACAAAAAGTCGACGAGGGCTTTCCGGAGATGCATTTCTATTTTCTGTTGGCTTAAGATCCTATTAAAAATCTGCGATTTGTCCTATTTCAGTTAGGACATCTCGTAATGAAGATTGCTGTTGTCACTCTTTCAGAGCAGATAGTTTAGATTATAACACAATAGAAATCTCTTATGTATTCATGAGTCTTAGTTTGCATGAAAGTGATGACAACGAAATTTGTGTGAAGGTTCGTAGTGGGAGTGGCTAGTGATGAACGAACGGCCTGCGGCACGCGGTATTCCGTTCGCTATCCTTACGAATGTAAGGACTACTACTACTACTACAAGAAAATGATAATTTTCTTGGGTATTCAATCCGAGGAGTGCTCATTTTGAGGTGAAATTTGATTGTACCTGATAACATAAAAGTCGTTGAAGTCATTTAAAACTGTTAACAATGGTGCCATGCAAAACCCGAGAAGCACCTAAGCGCAATGGTGAGCATGTGCAACGGGAGTCTTCAAGTCGGCAGTTCGTTTTTTTCACTACCGTACTGGTTCATGAGCTATGGTGTTAAGCATCAACGTTTATGTGGGGAAATTGACATTATTATCGTCACTAAGGATGTGGTGTTTCAAATATATGAGCTAGTTCTGTCAATTTAGTTTAGTAAAAAAAAAAGATGTGGAACCATTACTATATTGTAAATTTAATTTCGGTTTACATTAGTAGAATATCTGTAAAAAGGGGATTTCGAGGTTATGTGGGCTTCTGTTGTCGTAGACAAGCTTTATGGTAGAGGAGCACTGTTACTTCGGTTAACCCTACTGGGCATTCTTATCCAATCAACAGACAAACTTGTAAGCCCTTGTAGATTGGAGTGAGTGAGATGTTTGTATGGTGACCCTGAAAACGGCTGCTACCAGTTACTGACTCATCTTCTTTTTCCTCATTGACGTATTGAGTGTTCCTTGAATGTGATTATTCTTGTAGTTACGAAATATACATATGTACATATATGTATGCGTAAATATATATGTATATATTTGTGGTTATGTTACGGGTTAGAGCGTTCCCAACCCAACAGGTTTTCGTGAAACGCATTCACTCGCCTCTCTGGATCAGTTGGATGTTTACCACTTTGTTATTAGGGTTCTCTTCAAACCAGCAGCGACTCCTTTGATTAATCGTAACTGAGGACGATATGTGAGGGTGAGGACCATTTACGTTTGCTATTATGTCTTACAAGAATGCGTGTGGCGCAGTGGTCGGAGGCGCCCTGCAACACACGTGGAATCCTTCCAAGCGCCCATGGCCCACCAAGCCTTCCATCCCTCCGGGGTCGTCAAATTCGTGCCATACTTATCGGGGATGATAGCGGCACTGGCTCGATACATCGATAGGCCACCGCGAATTATTATAAATGCCAGATATGCATTCAATCACCTCGAAATGATGCTTAATGAAGTCGCACGCATGGCGCATCCCCAGGGATTGATCAACGCCGAGAGCTTTGTCTTTATCCTTTTATTGTGTCTCACCAATCGGTGTCATTGTTTATTCTCATATGTTTTAGTAAAATAGATTTTATATGGAACAACTAGTATCTCTTCGCTTGACACTTGACACTTGACACTTGAACGGCCTGTCCTCACTGGTTGTGCGGGCCCCAGCATAATCACCATTTATCGGAGATTTACTGGTTAAACCGTTGTGGTTACCTGGAATCCCGAGGTCAGCCTGGCAAAAGTCTGCTCCAGGTTGCAGAGGATCGATCCACCACTGGCAGTCGCAGCCGTTGTGGATCGATCAGAGGGAGATTTGCCACCATGCGATTTTGATACCAGGACGGTGGCGGATCTTGGTATTGGTTTACTCTTAGCTAGGCTTCCTGATGGTAACTCCAGACTCCTCAGCTTGGGAGACCTTGCTGGGGGACGAATCCCCGCTTTGTACATCGCAGTCCGACACCTAGGAACACCACCCAGCCACGATGAGGCGGTAAACCTTTGGGAGGATCTCTTCGCTATTCGGTCAAATTATAGTCAAGGTTGTAAGACTCAGGCGATAAATATACCATTACCGGATCAACTCCATACAGTTGTCGACCTATTTTCTGGGTTAGGTATGGTTTTCAGTTCTTGTTATATCGCGCTAAATTTGTCCAGAAATATGAAAAACAGTCACTTTTTGTGCGCATGTAGCCACAGCAACTTATTATAGAACTAAGTTAGGCGTCTATTTTGAGTTCTTCTAAAAAAATCTTTATTTAATATGCCCCCAGCGTTTGTCATGTCTATTCATGTGCCAAGAAACAGGTTTGGTATGACCAAATCTTATGTTTTAATAAAAATTATTTTGGTCAGAAAATATGTCTGTGTTTACCAAACCCTTCGCAGAACTGCAAAATGGACAAATTTCTCATCTGGAAATTGCTATGTATCCTAGCAATTTGGCGCTGAAACGCTACATATCCCCGGTTTTCGCAAGTAATGAGATCAGATGACTAAACTTCTTGCAGGATTTTCCGTATCAATACGATTCTTTATTGTCAAGCCTTCTACATGCCGCTGGTTTCTCTACTGTTCTGCAGCTGCAACGAAATAACCGCCTTCGTTCCCTTATCGACAAGACGTTCCGGAGGAGGCGGAGCCATGAGGCGGCGGGAGGCGCGGAAGGCGGGGGCCGGCGCGACGGACGGGCGGCGGTTGCGCCGGTTGCGCCGGTCGCGCCGGTCGGAGCGCTCCCGCCCGCCAGGGCCACGAAGGGCGGGGCCGACCGGGCGGAGGTCGGCCTACCAGTTGGGAGACTGGGACTGGGGGAGATGCGACCGTGCCGCCCGGTCAATATGACTGGCCACGCTGGGTCATTCGTTCCCACATCAACGTATAGTCAGTGTATTGGAGACGAAGAAGCTGCGGCTAGTGTGGGATGACCCTGGCTGTTACTGCCCATTCGATTAGTTCTATTCATTCTACGGTTCCACTTTGACAGTGGATTTAGCGATATTTTGTGAAATCTGTTTATTTTCTCATTTTTATACTCCTGACGATCAAATATTGTTTATGTTAACTATGAACCAGACCCTGTTTCTCATTTGGAAACGTCTATTTTCGTTGCACTTTAGAAGTGTGTTACCGTATCCGGTCTGCTTAAGTAGCTCTGAAAGCCTTGTGCTGATAACATTCATGACTTCTGAGCCTCGAATCTTACACGGCTTTCTTCGAATGCTCGCAAATACTTTTCAAGTTGTTTTTAATCCTAAGGCTTATTACTTAACACTCCCAACATTCAATGTTTTTCATCAATAAGCAGACACGAGGTTGTTAATATAGAATTTATTAGAACACAATTGCTGACGTTTCGGCGGTTTCGCCTTCTTCAGAGCCTGGAAAGGTCAAATTGAGATGCGATCTACTCAGCCAAACACTTTCATAACCCCAGCAGATAAAACTTGATAAATCGATTTGTATTCGCATAAGAAACAGTTTCATTCAAACACCTACCGTTTATTTGTTGTAAGTATTTAAGTTAGTTGGTGGATAGCCGCCGCACAGAGTAATACATGGTCGATAACTGGGTCCATGTCAGATCATTGGATCAGCCTGAGGTATGGCGCTAGGTCACGCGTGATGACAAGACACTCCTCCTTGCGGAAACGCCGAAACGTCAGCAATTGTGTTCTAATAAATTCTATATTAACAACCTCGTGTCTGCTTATTGATGAAAAACATTGAATTATCAATTAATGCCGAGGTTAACAGAAAGTCGGTCATGGGAATTACTCCCAACATTATCCATACAGTATCCTTGTGGGCCGCTTCTGGCGCAGTGGTTGGAGGCGCCTTCCAACATAGACGTGGAATCGATCTCCGCGCCCATGGCCCAGTGTGTAGCAACACAGGGTCAATACATCAGTAGGCCACCATGAATCATTGTAAAGGCCAGATATGCATCCAATCACCTCCAAACGATGCTTAATGAAGTCGAATGCATGGCGCATACCTCATGGATTGATCAACGCCGAGAGCTATATCAATTATCCTTTTTTTTATTTATTTATTTATTTATTATTTTCCATGTGGGTGTCCAGAATTCCTCTACGTCATCCTATGTCTATTGTACTATTTATTTTGATCAGCGTGTGTTCTGTGCATGTTTATCCAGGCAGGGTATATACACTATATATATATATATACATATATATATAGTGTGTATATATATGTATATATATATATATACCCATCAAATATATGTAAACTCTATACTCTACTGAATATGTGTTCGGCTGCCTCGTTTTGCGCTTTGTAATCCTTCATCATTCACTTCACATAAGTGGATAGTGATATTCACTAATTCTTTTGTCATGGATGCTGTGGAAAATGTTCGCTAACTGTCCCTACACCCACCACATCACTTCAGCACTCTCAGTGGGTACCATAGCCAATGACCTCTAAATTGGTGATAAGATTCGAATCTATAAACGTCTCCAAGACCTCTTAATCACCAGGGAAGGCGTTTGGAACTAAGGGCTGTTCATTTATCATTCTCTACACCATCAAAAGTAAACCGGTTAATCAGTTAAGAACTCGTGAAAACCTTGTTGAGCTGGATTTTCTTTTCGACTCTTCAGTACTGTGTGTTGAGTTTTAGTGCCTCCAAAAGGAGCATCACTTTCCTCTCGCTTCATTTTAAACGGAATTCGAACCAAAACGATTTGTTCGGATTCTCAGCGACAGGATTTAGGGCTATCCAGCGTAAATCGATTTGCAGTTATCTACCCCATTTCTTCGATTACCACCATCCAACCATCTGCAATCAGAAATAAACTCTCCGTCATCACCACTCCGGCTATGTTTGTTCTGTTGTATTATTCAGAGGATTTAAGCGTGTTTATTCGCATATTGTTGTTGTTGTTGTCACGTATTTGTCTATCAATTTCTCTTCAATTTCAGTTTCGAGTACTTCGAATACAATGATGGAAGTTTGCGTCAACGGCAACGGTTCGACTCCATCGTTCGAATGGTCCACCTGTCAACCTGCTCAACCGAGTACCGCGCGTCCGAAGAGGGATTTTCGATTCCAGGTAGAAATTGAAATTCTTTTAACATGTCATTTTATCTCTGTGACGTTTGAATAGGTTATTCGTGTTATTTTTTCTCACACATTTTCCACAAATTCGATGATTGGAGGTAAAAGCTTTCAGTGATAGCGTTGACTACGAAGCAATTACTAGTGCCGCAATATCAAGTAAAATGGTTCTGTTCTTATTCCTTTAGGGTGGGAGGAGGGGGTTGATTCGCTTTCTTAGAGCTTTCTAGAGGTTTATTGGAATTCCGCATGGAAAACATGCATTTGTGTACCTCACTTTCCAAAAATTAGCTGAGATCTTAAAAGCGGAAGCGTAGCCCTGAATTTTCATTATTGACCAAGAAGGAAGCATAAGAGTGACACTGTTAACGCGTCTTTGCATTGTTTTGAAGTCCAGCGGAACAAAATGAGAAAATAAGCCATTTCGAATTTCCTTGTTGCTGGCATTACTCTGATTATGAATCGTGTTTTTTGCGTACTTATGAAGCGTCTGCTCCTCGTCGTTTTTTTTTTGTGGACTGAGCGTCACCAGCCTAGTCATACAATGACAAGCCCAGTTTCGTTAATACTAACAAATAATGTGGACCGACCATTCGAACGGACAAACAACATTCGCATGCTGTGCGTTAGTTAGCGCTCTAGGCTACATCGTTAGAACGATGTGATCTTAGCGCAGAAATCCGATGGATAATTATCGGTCTGTGTATAAAGTGGGATATACCGCCAAAGGCCACAACGTGCTTATGAATTAGAGGACGTCTGGAAATGTCTGTTATGACTGACTGGTGCTGTTTATCGTAAATTTTCGCACATTATGCTTCCATTGTCAGAAGTATCAGTAAGTTAACAGCTACTGTGTTCGTTTAGGTGATCGAAGTCCGCCAACACCCGAAATGGTTCATTTGGCCTAGCAGAAATCGCGGCAATGATGAGGAAGTCGATGAGAACCATAACAAAGTATGTTGCTTATCTCAAGATTTACTTAATTCTCTCTTATTTTCCCTCAGTTTCCTGATTTATTCGTTTAATTTATAGGAGGCGAAAACCGTTGGCATGGAAAATGGCTACCAACAAGCCAACTGTAGTAGTCAAAATCAGTATGCCACCTACACAAAGACGCAAAACGGTTATGGTACAAAGCGTCGAAATGTGTTACGTGGTTCGAAACGCATGCAGATGGAGAAAGATGGAGGTAGAGTTCTCATTCTGGATACTTTTCTTTCCCATTAATCGTTGGCGTTAGGTGTCTTTGTATCGGTTATACGCTTTAGCTCTGGTAAGGTATCCATAGGCTACTCTACCTTCCAACTTTTGCAGTGCTATCATTTAGTCGTGGGTGTTTAATGGAAGCGTGAGGAGATTTTGTGGAAAATTCATTAAAAAACGTTCAAAAAATTAAAGCGGACTGTTCTCAAAATGTATTTTCGCAATGAAAAACACCAGTCTCTTCACAAGTAGAAAGTGTTGCCTGTTATGCCATCAATGTTTTCACTCAGTGTTTCGGGCTTGGAATTGAGGAAGATAAGCGCTTTCCGACGCTTTTTTTTTGTTGTGGTGACAGTGGGTTTTGATGAGCCAGTGGTGATTTTTCTTTTCATTTCAAATTCCAATGTCATGTGAACGGAAAGGTTTTTTTTTGTGGATTTGTGATTAAATTTCTCTGCTGAAGCTGGTAATCTTCAGGAATGTACCTGTGATCGTTATGAGTGTTCATTCCAGTGCCTGGTCGCACAGCTTCTGAGCCGGCCAGGCGTTTGTCGACGAAGAAGGACAAAACTACCACCGAACCGCTTGCGTCCGGTGGACTGTCAAATACCTTCAAGATTCTCTCGATTGCCAAGAAATGGGACAGCTTTGATGCAACTGATGATGAATCCGATGACGCCACTATGTCGTGTGATGGAGTGAATAAAATGGCCAAGGGGGATTGCAGATGGACGGCTAAGTAGTGGCGGAACATTGTATTCCACCATGTACGTCATTAAACATCTTGTGGTGATTAGCGTCGCATGGCTATTGTACATATCTGAACGCTTTCCGCCTTTACGGTTACTCGAACACTATTTATTTCTCGTGTCTCTCGTCCCATTATCCGTTTCTGCCTGTTGTGGTATATTTTTGAGTGCGATATGCGGGTCTGTAAATGAGGATTGGTATGAGTTAACTAGTACTGGTTCTGAACTCGTTATGTTGTTCTGTTAACACTTGTGACAATAAGTGTTCGTCGGTACGCGAATACCAATCCCTTAGTAATCAGCGCTGAGATAACGTCATGATGACCTGTTCGAAATTCCCTTCATTTTTTTGTGCTATTTGGCTTTTCTAGTTCATTATTTGATAGTGCATGTACTTCACATTGGTTTCAGTATGTACTGCTAAGCGGATTTGGTAACACTGTTATTGTCACGTCAAACATTTGTGTTGCTGGTCTTCAAAGTAATGAAGATGTAAACCAGTTTTTGTTATTACAAAGGAACTGTCAGGTTTCTGAGGATGCGTTATTGGGTATAGCGATAGGACGAAGAAAGACAAAGAAAACAGTAATCATGCAGTTTACCCTGTCGTTAAAAATTGTAATAAGCAGTAAATGAAAAGTTAGAATTGTGATTTAGACTACGGCCTCAGCTTAACTGGGTTTATTGCCGATTTGCACTTCCGAGATCAATCCCGGGTAATTGCTGATGGCACTGATCGATAGGAAACTAGCTGAAAAACAGACATAACGAAGGACCCGCATGGTGTGGTGGTGAACGCGTTAACCCTTCGAAAGGGTAGTAGCGTGTTCGTTCCTCACCGCATCACCGCAGACGCCTGCGGTCCGGAGTTTTGTAAACATCTCAGCACCATTGTGGTTACGTTCAAACTGTTTCAGTCACTACTGTTGTTTCTTCTGTGTAAAAGTCGAGGTTTAATGTTTGTACATTGAAGTACAATACTCACAAGAGTAGGCGATGAACGGATGATTGCGAAACACCTTCGGTGTAACTGTGACTGTCACGTGGTAGAAAAGGAAAGGGAGAGAATAATGACCTCGTCGGAGGAATCGTTAGGTTCTGCTTATCTGTAGATTGTTAACATTATCATCGTTATTATTATTTTTATTACTTTTGCTATTGTTGTTGTTGTCGCTATTATTACAACTGGTGACTATTACTATTATATTTATTATTACTATTATTACTATTTCTATTATTACAACTATTACTATTATATTACTATATATGCTGAGACCAGACGAGGCTGCGTGGCAGTCATATTAGATGAAAGGTTAGCGGAGGGGGCAAAAACCAAAGTCGACTATGAGGGAGTGCACCAACCACTTTGATTCGGACCAAAGCATGTGCTGCTGTGATTGTGAAGTTGAGGGCGATAGGCTGGAAAGTAACTCTTTATTTTAATTTACTTATCATTTAACTATATATTGCAATATTTTTCTCGAGATTTGGTTTTGTTTGTTTCCTAATGTATTAATGTATTATGTACCTAATGTGGAATTTGAATGTGTGGCGCAGTGGTTGGAGGCGCCCTGCAACACATACGTAAAGTCGATCCCCGCTCCCGTGGCCCACCAGATCTTCCATCTCTCCGGGGTCGGCAAATTAGTACCAAACTTGTCTGAGAGGATAGCAGCGCTGGCCCGTTACATCGGTAGGTCATCGCGAGTTATTGTAAAAGCCAGGTAGATACGCATTCAATCACCTCTAAACAATGATTAATGAAGTCGAATGCATGGCGCATCCCTCAGGGATTGATCAACGCCGAGAGCCCTATCATTTTTTATAGTTCATCTTTTTAAATGGATTATTTTGTGTGAAATTTGGATGGTGTGCAAACACGACTGGACGTTGAACAGGATTCTTGGTCTCTTCATCTATCCCACGCAATACCATGGATGGCGAAAGGTATATCACCATACTTCAAGATGGAATCTGACCAGTTACCAACATTTGGGAGAACATTGGAGATCTGATTCTTATGCAAGATGGCTCTCCTCCACATTTTGCCTCTTTTGTTCGTCAATGACTGAATGGCCCCACTTTTCTGGGAGATCAGGGAGAGTGAAGAGGCAAATTACGAGAAATTTAAAATAGGGGGTACTTTTCGATCACTCCGCACATAGGGGTGCTTAGTGGTGACAAACAAGTAAGTTCATGTGTGCTCTGGACGAGCTTCACACGTGATCTGTGAGCTTGTACAGTTTTCTCATAGCTACATCTACAACCGTTTGGATACTGTACTCCACTCAGTAGTAACATTAAAATTGTCTCCTTGTATGAAAACTTTGGCACTCTCCATGTGCATCCAAAGAGCAAAGCTCACTAGGCAGCTCTGGCGCGCAACAAGAAACAATAAAGTTTCGGTTTATGGTCGAGCTAATCGATATTGATTCAAAGAATAGAGGTTATTATTAATAATTTTATCGCCGTCGCTGTTGTTTTGGTTGTTATTACTAATATTCCAAGAAAGGAGTAGCACTTATGGGTCATATAATTGCACGACGAGAGGATTTCGTAATTACCGGAATTTTGTGTTCTATGAATTTTGTTCCTCCGGATATTTCATGAAGATCGAAGTGCCCTGTTGCGGAAATGACCACGTCTTAGTGGAACGACACTGGTTACGACATCACTGACACAGGAACATTCGAATATCCCATTAGTAGAGTCCATTGAGTAAGGCATTACTTCATGTGTATGACGTTTCAGGACCATATCTCTGGGATTAGAAACGCATTTCAAACTGGAAGAGTGTGAATTTTCGTGAACACATTGAGTGTTTCGTTTTTGACACTACACAATTTGCCACAAGGACGTAAAATTGCACAAGAATTGAATTTTTCACAAATGTTAAACAGCGAATACAGCACATAATTGTTCGGAGTCACTGTTTTCGTCAATTTGGCTCGTATTTCAGAAGGAAAAAGGACAAAAACAAATCAATAACTACCGCAGAATTTTGACAAACCGCTCAGGAAGCAATAAAATTTTTTGCGACATTTAAAATCAAACGTATTTAAAGTCGTCCATCAGGATTTCTTGTGAGCTATAATTACTCGATCGTAAAGTTCTTGCGTACAAAACTCATTAGCCGTTAGCCGTTTGGCGAATGGTGTACTTCTAACGCATAAAGATAATTAGTAGGTTCTGGAAAATGACTCTGACTATTACTGGAGAACATCTGTTCGGTTTGTGGTTTGCAAAAGAAGGTTATAAATTCCTCTTCGTTTCGTGAACTGGTGCACTTAGTAGAACAAACCCATATGGCTATTTCATGCTGGCAATGGAACTTGACTCTACAACCACTTTAGACGTTTCTTTTCTTGAACGTAATCAGACAATGATGAAGATACACTGTTGATGTAAGTAGGAGTTGTGATTATCATTTTCGTCCATCGAACAAGTATCACTCTTTACCTGATAAGTTACAGCTAAGGGTAGATTGTTGGCGAAATGAGTGACGGTCTACAACTACATTCGAAGGTGTATTTAGAAAAAAAATGACTTAAAGGATCTGTTTGTAGTTTGTTTTACAATTAGATCTATACAAACATAAATATGTTACGCAAATTGCACCGAACCTTGACGGTAGTCATCAACGGAATGAAGTTAGCGTATGTTGGGAACCAGTTTCCAGGGTTTCCCTCTCTTATTTTCTTGTCACTTTGTTACCATCAACGTCACTGGTAAAAAACAAACGACCAAACTTTGGAAGTTAGCGATCCGGAACACTATGAGTGCTCGCATTGTCATCGATTTTCTGAATTGTGTGCATATTTGCTTAGTGTTCGTAGTGACTTCCGCAAACTATTAGAGGTCAAAGATTCGTCTTACTCACTGGCAACAAAAAAGAACAAGCATGAACAGCTTTTTTAGGATAAGTGGATTTATACAAGATAAAATTTCAACATGCGTTTATACAGCTGAGCTTACACGAGATTGACAGAGATGCTTATTCGGCTAACGTTTCGACATCTTCGTCTTCATCAGAGTCGACGGTCCACAGTTGTTCTTCTTAAATGCCGTCCGGTTTCAAAATTAAAATTTCAATATAATATCATCATACAAAGGCGCGTGTGGCGCAGTGGTTGGAGGCGCCACCGCGACACGCACGTGGAATCGATCGCTGCGGCCACGGCCCACCAAGCCTTCCATCCCACCGGAGTCGGCAAATTGGTACCGGACTTGTCTGGGAGGATAGCAGCACCGGCTCGGTACATCGGAAGACCACCGCGAGTTATTATAAGGGCTAGATATGCATTCAATCACCTTCAAGCGATGCTTAATGAAGTTAGATGCATGGCGCATCCCTCAGGGATTGATTAACGGCGAGAGCCTTTTAGAGTTTTATCAACATACATCGCTGGTTTTGGTGTGTTTACACATCTGCTCACTATCCGTATGACACTCATTTAACGTTTTCTTTCCACGGTACGGATAAATCGAACAGCTATCCGTCATTCTTCCAGATTTTCATGTTGTCGATTATTCCAGGCTTAGTTCTCGCCGAGGAAATTTAACACGCTGACGTATTGGTGAGGTGCGTTGGTGGAAACAATGAAAGTGCAGTGCGATTGCGTGCACTTCACCTCATTCCGCTGAAAAAAATCGTCCATTTGATCAGCACCTGTCTAGAATACAATGAAACTGATCAAATTTTTTCGAGGATCTATTCGTCTAGTGAAAATATAGCCTTCTGGAATCTACGGAAAACTATGAACTCATCGTTAGTACAAAGTGTGGGTATCGCTTTGTTCCCAGTATGTCGTTAAGCCTACATATCGACTATTTGAAACGCCGTAGAAAGATATGCAAGATAAGGTATTTAGGATTAATTAACTGTCTACTCTGTCTACTAGTCCTCTCTTTGTTAGTAGTTGATTTACTGTGTTCAATGTCGATGAGTTTATAGGCAATAGGTTTCCTCCACGGTTATCGGCATACTGTGGCAC